TTCGTCCACGTCAGCAAAGGTCTGACGACACGACGCACACGAAGCAGTCTCCGACGGGCAAGCGTCGACGAAGAAGCACCGTCTTCAACACTTTTACCACGCGCGACATACCCCAGGTCACCCTATCCGTTACAGAATAGACATTTTTATGAACAGATACTGCTGTTTGAACGTGAATGTGTCAATAAAAATGATAATGATCGTTGTTCAAATGCAACTGCAGGTGTAATTAAAAATTTAAACTTGTGTAAACGAGACTGTTGTGTATTTTGAGGTGGCACACTATTACTTAAATTCACATGTCTTTAGTTTAGTAAACTTTAAATTAGGTATCCATAACACAGAATTACAGAGAATTATTTATATCGAAATTAATATCCTAATTGAAAAGCGATGCGTAAATAACTAAAATTAATAATTGACAATCCTTTTTTTTCCTAGTAACAGCGCGACTTAATTCTAATTTAATTTGAGAACATAATAGTCTCCCCCCACAAAATTATGACAGTTAATTATAAATTTAAAAAGTAAAAGTTGTAACAACAGTTTCAATCACATGACATAGTCTCTAAAACGTTCTGGAGGACGGCGAGGTCGAGTAGATCGCCGGACGGATTCCACTGTTGGAGATTGTCCAACTTCTGAAGGTTCAGCTTCGACATCAGGAATAACATCCGATCCAGGATTGGCTGGTAGGAGCAGGGACGCCAATTTTTCGTAGTGGTGGTTGATTTCAGGTGATTCCGAATCTGAAGTAATTTGTGGAGGTTGCAAGGGTGGCTGACTGTTGGGGTATATATCGACGTTGCCTTTCAACTTGGTGGTGGAGATGTTCGAATTTTTGGATGATCGAACCAAATTTTCAAGTTTTCTTGTTGTTCGAAATTCGAATACCATCTTGCTATGTACCTTGTCCCCAATTTTGAATTGTCGTGATGGTGGCAGGTCGAATCATACTCGTTTTTGGATTTTTGAAGTAGGAGGCTTGAAGACGTCGAACTGGTACCTAATGTTTCCATTCAAATGCAATTCGGCTGGAGTTTTGCCATTCTGGAGAGGAGTGGTTCTGAATCGGAATAATATTTCGCGGACCTTGGTTGAATAGAATCTGGTTCGGTCATACACTTCAGTTTTGATTTCAAAGTTTGTATATAACGTTCGGCCAACCCGTTAGTTGCAGGATGACCGGGCGCTATAAACTTTTGCAAAATGCCATGGTTCAGACAGAAGGTTTTGAATATGTCACTGTGAAAAATTGTCGCATTATCTGATACCATGATTTCAGGGAATCCATGAGTGCAAAAAATGTCCAGTAGCAGCTCTATGGTAGTTGCAGTCTTCGGGACGTCTTTAATAATGCGAATTTCAGTCCATTTTGACTTGAAATCAAGGACAAGAAAATGGTGATTCAAAAACGGCCCAGCGTAATCAATATGAAGGCGTTCAAAATTATGCTGCGGATCGTCCCAATGATGGAGAGGAACTTTAGCGGGACTTTTCTGGGATAGTGCGCATTCCTGGCAGTTTTTTACTATAGCTTCTATGTCTTTGTCGATGTTTTTCCAGAAGCAGTGGCGTCTTGCCAACTGTTTCATTTTTACGATGCCCACATGTGTTCGATGCAGTTCCAAGAGAACTCTTTTTTGAAGGGCTTCAGGTATAAAAACTCGTTGATTCTTGAAAATGATGCCATTGGAAGTGCTGTATTCGGGGTCACCTCGTTTTCCAGAAATGAGACCTTCATGAAGGTTCAAAAGAAATGCGTCCTTGGCTGTTTCTTCAGCAATAGTTGAATTGGTGATGACGTCAGTAGAAATCTGGAAATCTTGAGGTATAGGAAACTGGAGAGATACGAGAAGGAGTGGAAGCACTGGAGAGACAGAAGAAAACGAGCCGAAGGTAAAGTAAGTAGAGAGGCTAGAATGAGCAGAATGAGACACTTATGATGCTACGGGGCTTTGAGTAACCCGCAAGAAATGGCCGATTTAGAGATGCGAAGAAACTGGAACCGCTAAACAAACTAGGAAGAATAAAGTGCCTGGAGAATCTGGAATATGGCTGCATCGGGAGGATGAAGAGACTACATAAGATGGAGAAGCTACCAGTTTACCCAGGTAAATTCTCCCTCAAGAAAATTTGTTCCGCGGTAAATTCGCCTCTCGGAAGATGCGCCCCCGAAAGATGCACCCCGGAAAACTCGCGTACAGGATATTTATTTGCTCCCGATAATTTGTCCCCCAAGACCTGTCCCCTGAGTATTCTCCCAGAACATTCGCCCACGGACGATTTACTCATAGAAGACTCGTATGAGGAAGATGAGCCCAGCAAATTGCCCCCGAAGACCTCGCCCATTGAAATTTTGCCTAGAGAAAAATATTTACCTCCAGAGGTATACTGTCGACAAATTATAATGGAGGGAAGAGATAGATTTTCTCCTCTTGATGGCTGCGCTGCGGCAGTGGATCGAATAATGTCGAAGATGGCCGAAGTGGTTCTTGAAGTTGATGTGCTCAGAACGGCAGCTTGAAGCACAATCGTTCCAGTTCCTCCGGAAAATCTGCCTTCTATTTGTATCCACACCTGGAGGTGGAACTGCGAAACTGTGAGGTAACTAACGGAAGGCATTAAACACTAGCACCACCTGTTGGTAATAAACTGAACTAAAAGAAATTAATAACATTTACCCTTACAGGTCTCCTATAAATTATTAGAAAAGAAAGCTTGGAGAATATTACCTAAACGCAAATATGGAGGGAGATTGAGACCGACAATCTGTGGAAGAGGGAGGAGAAATAAAAGAATTTAATATAGGATAGAATCGGATAACCAGCCCATGGGAATGAGTAAAAAAGTAAATAAGAAGAGCAAGACAGAAACGAAGAGAGGCACAGATGTAGACAAAGAAACTAAAGAGATTTATAAAAAGTGATTAGGAGGTCAAGGAGAAGAAATAGGAAAAAGATTAGATGAGTGGAAAATTGTCAAGGAGAGGCACTGATGTGGGAACCGGTAAAGGAAGAGGAAGAGAGAGGGTACAGAAGAAACAGATACAGAGCAATGATGGGGAAAGGAAGAGCTAGAAGAGTTGAAAGAACAGAAAACAAAGCACACAAAAAATCAAAGAAAGGAACAGAAAAAATATGTAGAATAAATTAGCGAAATAGTAACATAAAAGGATTTCTGGGGGATTATAAAGAGAGGAAAAGGAAGAAACATTATAAGCGAGAGAGAAATAAAAATAGAAGACAAGAAAAGTAGAGGAAAGAGGGTGTGATGGAGGAGGTAGGTAAAGAAAGATATCAATAGAAGAGATTAAGAAACAATGAAAAAAGCTAAAGAAAGGGAGAGGGGCAGGGATGACGTAAGAAATGCGGCTTGGATTTTCATAATTAATTTGTAATACCAAGGACAAGCAGAGGAAACTAAAAACAAGATGTGGAAATAGGGCAGACAGCCTGAACGATAGAAGGAAGGGATAATAGTGCGGAGGGACAAATACTGTATAGAAAATTATGGGGAGATCACCATAAATGACGTGGAAGGGGAAATAGTACATACACAGCACAGTGCTAATGGCAACAGAAGAAAAACATGGGACATGATGGGAAAGGTGGAGAGGTACTGGGAAAATGCAATTAAATGTGGAAAAATCTAAAATGATAAAATGCATTGATGCATTGATGATGCAAAAAAGAGGTTAAATGAAAGTGGAGGGAGGAAATAAGTTAATTTAAATATTCAATACTCCAGATGCCATAAAGTAATGGGATAAATGCGCAAATAAGGGAATAAAGAAAAAGAGAGATGTGATGTCGGAAATAGGAGAACAGAAATTCAAAACCGAATGCGGAATAATTGATGTATGGAACGGAGATTTGGAGATGGAGAAAATGGAATGAATTAGAAGGAGTACCAAGCAGGTATTTCAAACGGATACCACGAAATGGGAGATAAGAATACAGTGACAGGGACGTAGGGCGGTAATATTTTAGGAAAGGGGAGAAAGGAAAGAGAGAGAGAGAGAGAAAAAAATCGAGAATTAAGGATAAAACAGAACGTGCAAGTAGCTGATAAATGAGGAGGTGCCGAAAGATGTAGGGGGGGGGGGGGGCAAGCATTGAACTAATAGCGAGGAGAGAAGAAAGAATGAAGACTAGGTGGAAGATGGAGAGCGGAGGGGAAGAAGATAATCTTATATTGGAGGGAACAAGGGCAAGCAGTGGGGAAATACCGGCGAAGAGGGAAAAGGAGCAAAAAAATGGATGAATAGTATAATAGAAAAAAAGGAAGAATTGCATAAAAGATTATGTAGTTGTCATTTATTGTAAACAGCTTTTGCCAAATGGCGGAAATCGACCTTTCAAGTTTTTTATAAATTTTAGAGGTAGTAATCTCCGAGGTGGAGGGACCAGCCCCTAGCTATACCAAAGAATAAAAACCCTTCTTCATATTCGACTGGTGTATTTCGTAGCCCATTTGGTCAGACTTTTTGGTACGTGTACTTGATGAGGGAATAGATGCAATTAGAAGGCGACGCGACGGTCAACTACAACTTCCGATCTGAGCACATATTTCCCCGCGGAACACCGAGATACAATTTATGACCATTGGTCCTCGGATTATAACGATTCATATCATCCATCTGTTACTCCCATCTATACGACGGAAATACGTTTCACTGCATTCCTAGTGCGGGTGAAACTGTTTCTTGTTGCATCCGGCGTAATTAACGGAAACAAAATTTCTTATTGCCATAGGTTCGGAAGTAGTGAAAGCGCAGTCTTTGTGCAAACATGCAAAGCATCTTTGACGAGATTTCGATCAGGTAATCCCATTGCGTAACCGCCGTTAATTGAGTTACGGATAAAGGAAAGAAAGTTCCGGTCTTCCTGTAACTATAGGTATTTGCTCTCGATACAAATTTGCAACAAACGCACGTGCTTTTAGATTTTCCCCACCGCGCGCGAGACGCCTTAAGTATATAAAGCGGGATGCGTCTAGGGAAAATAAGTAATTGCGTTGGCGCTACTTTTCTTAGACATGTACAATTTGCAGGTGAGAGTTGTTCTTTTAGTTTATCAAGAGAGTTTATACGCGCAAATTGCAGAAGTTCGTCCTAGTACTTCTCCTGATCGGGGCCGTTTTCGGATTTCCTGAACCTGACAAGTAAGTCAATCGAATCTGGAGCAGATTCACTCAACCTTTACTTTTAGGGTACGCATACACGTACCCGCCAAGATAAAGACGATATACAAGACTAAGATAATAAAAGTACCCGAGCACCATCATCATTACCACGAGAAGTTGAAGGAGGTGCCGAAGTATGTTGCCATCTCGAAGGACCACCACGATTCTGGATTGTTAGGGGACAGTTTTTGAGAAGTTGTACCTGTTAATTGGTTAAGTTTTTGTTTGCTGCTCATGTTTTTGTTGTTGTTACTACAGTACCTAATTTTTACGCAATAAAACTTTTACAGTGATATTTAGCCATACGTAATGAATGTTATTGCCGCTGTATTGCCCATCATTTGATCATTATGATACTGCAAAATTTGACAATAAAAACGTAAAATAGGCAAAGTACGCAATGTAAATGGCACAAAGGGGTCTCCATGTGCTGCAAATCCGTATGGAAAAGATGCTGGATCTGAATTTAGTCAACTGTCGCAGGGATGTGTCCCTGATAAGAACTAGCAGTTGTAACGGTCCTCATCTTCATGTTCAATTCTTCTTCGGTTTTGTGTTAATTCTTTTTTTAGCGCTGCTCCAATCTTCTCTGTAACATTTTCTTCTAATGTTTGATAATGTTCAATAATGTTCTTCAATAGCTTCATTTCAGGTGACTTGAAATCTCGTTGTTTACGTTCGTCAAACTTCTTTTTTATGTCCTCTATTTTTGCTTCTTGTAACTTAAGTTGATCTTTATGTCTTAATTCTTGTTCTAGATGTTGGTTTCTTTCTTGTTGTTCAATCTGAAGTTCCAAATTTAACTGTTGTGCTTTAGCTAGTTTTTCTTCCAATTCTTTTACTCTCTTCTGCCAAATGTTGCTTTCTTCAGGTTTTTTCTCCACACTTCTATTAGGTATCGATTGGCTTTCTATAGCTTCTTCTTCAATTTCTTTCTTTACTTGTTGTAGGTCTTGAATTAGTCTGCTTAAATTTTCTTCTTCTGCATTCTCCATGGTTTCTTCAACTTCTGGTTCTTCAATTCCATCTGTTATTTCATCTTCTCCTGGTCTTCTATAGCTTACTGATCCTCCAAGTACTATCTTAGTTTGACTATCGGTATTCTCCAAAAAGATTCGTTTGCCCCCTCCAGCACTCCAGCTATGATGGGTTTGTTTATTTTTTCTTGTTAGTTGTTTGATGTATTTGGTTTTTTATTTCTTTGAATAAAACTTTTTACAAATTTGATGTGGTTGGGTTATTCCTTTCGTTGTTGCTGAATCAGCGGGACTACTGGTCCAGCGTCTATTCGTTTCCCCGAGATTCTCTTTCCATATTGTGCTCCTGTGGACCTCTTTCTTCATAATTTCTTTCATTGCGGTTCCATCTCCTTGATGGACTCTGACTCGATCCTCCCTGTACTGTACAGCATTTACTTGCCTATGGTTTCTTCTGTCTTGATTTGATTTCTATCATTTTCCGATAATTGTTTCGGACTTGGTAATTCTTCTCTTCTGCCTTGGTTTCTGTTGTCTTGATGATACGTGTTTCTTCTGGAATTTGGATTGGCTTCTTGTATTCTCTCAAGCGTGTCGACTAGATTCTGTACTGTTTTCTTCCCAGACCCAATGAAGATATTCTCCACCTCTTGAGGGTTATGGTTAAGGCGTTGACTAATTGCTCTTTTCTGAGTGGAGGCTGTCAATGGGCCGTTTCTCCCACCCAGTATCAGACATGGTCTACATAACTTCCTCGTCGAGAATCATATGATTTTGGTGTTGCTAATTTCAGCATTATTTTATCTTGAGTTTGCGTCATAAAGTCATCTTTAAATTCTTTAAGGTTGTTCCATTCCTTGCTCTTTAATTGGGACCATCATTTGGCATTTCCTTCTAGTAGTTCCATTACGATATGTACTTTCTCTTGCTCAGTAACATCGAAATTCTTCAAGTAATTTTCTACCGCCTTCATAAAATTGATGGGATGTGAATTTCTGAGGTTGCCATCGAACTTCTTCGGTCTTTGGTATAGTTCGTTCTCGGTTTTCACCATTACCTTGTGGATTTTCGATCTGTTCAATTTCACTTCTCCTCTGATTTCTTCTTTAGTCGTTTCTACGTCTTCATAATATTTTTCAACTTTGTTATCCAATTCTGGGAATTTTTGATCTGTTATTTTTTCATGTTTTGCAATTGCATGCTCCATTTTCTTGAATTCGTAATCTACTTGTTGTGTAAATCCAACGTGCTGTTGATCTAAGCCTTCAATTTTCTTTTCTTGCATAATGAATCTCTTTTCGCATTCTTCTTTTTGACTTCTTATCTTGTTTTTTAATTGCTCCATGTTCTTTTCTTGACTTTTGATGATTTGCTCTTGTCTCACTTTTATTTCTTCTTGTCCTGTCTTCATTTCTTGCATTAATCTTACCAAAATTGTTAGGTCCATTTTTTGTGTTTGTACTTGAGTGGCTTCTATTATGCCTTGGCTTTCTTGACTAAATACAATGTCTTCACCAACTTGTGTTCCCTCCATGTTATTCTTCTGAATTGTGCTAGTTGCTTTCTTGAAACCGGATCTTAATTCCATACGATGGCTGTACAAAATGTTGGTTTTGTGTCTTGCGTCTTAAAAATTTTCTTAGGTATGCCACTGGTATCGATTTTTTTGCATTGACTCTTCTTTACAGGTGTTGATGGTTCGAAGTCCACCGACTGGGTGCCATTTTGTAACGGTCCTCATGCTACAGCCCCACGTTGGGCGCCATTTTGTAACGAATGTTTACAAATCCTAGATGACTCACCGTGTATATTATTTGTCTTCCGCTGTCGATGTCGATATTTTTTGAACTTACCTTAATTTCTTACTTTTATACTTCCAGCTAGCTCAGTTATACAATAGGTAAGTAACAGGGAATAATTAAGTGAATTTTGATTTTAACAGGTAAATGGTTAATTTCACAATTAATATTCAAAATTTGGGCATGATTTTACCACGGCAATTTATACTCTAATATGCCTGGAGGGATTACGCAATTTTTATAATTCGGTGTGTTTTTGAAATTTACTCTTTCTGTCCCTGTGAGAAAAATTAATGTTTCGTTTCGACGATGACAATTGCAATTTTCTGTGACTCAGCAATTGCCGACTGTGTAAATGGCCACCTTCCACTTGTTGGAATTATGTCGTTCTCCTTTTCTAGCTAACTCTACCGTAACTCAATTGGGATTTAATTAACCCTCGATGCTCCTTTGAGGAATTTACCACAAAGACAAGATGTTGGCGAAGAAAACAAAATGCAGGCGCTAAGACAAACACGCTTGCTTGGGGCTCCCCGATATTTCAGTTGGTAATTAAAAAAAAATCTCTGAAGAATTCCACTTACCTACTGTGATGTTTTCCACGATATTTACACGTGAAAAACAATCAAGATGCCTCTTCTTAACTCTGTAATACGATTAACCGGTAATAGATCGAATATGGGCTCCTTAATTTAAACTGTGGGTACTCTGGGCCTAAACAACACTGTTTTTTTGTTTCACTTTTTTAAAATATTTCGCAATGTTATAAATGGTATGCTTTAAACTATACGAATAGTATAACCGCTTCGTTACAATTTTCAGCGCGTACTCCGCTTTTTACACTCATATCAATTTGCCTCGTCCCCTCCGGTCAAAGTCCATTCCCCTTAATCTAAATTTAAAACTACAGCAGATTTTACCTTCGTTCACAAAACTTATTTGTACTAGTATATACAGTGGGTTACAACATTTTATTATTTTACTCCCAGGCCAAAAAGGATTTTGAGTAACAAAAACTTCATACCCATTACACAGAGGTGCACCTCCACCACTTTTGTTGCCATTGCGCAGAGCCGCGATATATGCCCAACAATATGGTGGATTTTGTAGATTGGGGAGGTTAGGGAGGGTGGCGGCGGCTAACTGGGTGCTGTCCGACCCGAAAGGGTACGGTCACAACGCTCGTTTTTTAGTTTTTCAATCATAACTTTTTATAGGTTCACTTTACAAAAAAATATTGTTATCAGAAATTGTAGACTATAAAAATCTACAAAACTTCGATATACACTACTTTTTGTGGAATGTTTATTAAAAACGATATAGAGCATCAGAGTTGCTTATATTTTTAAGAATTCTATTTTTTAACCAAATTTTATACTTTATCTGTATAATTAAGAGTTTTATGAGAAAATATCTTGAACTTATCGCGGTATAAATTCCCCTACCCTGCACCCTTACCAAAGGAGATGCATAATAATTCAACTTTCTGTTAGGGACTACAGTCCACTAATTTAGAAGAGTAGAACCGCATCACTTTCAACCCTTGCTAGTGGGGATATTTGATTCACTGTGAGATGTCAGCGCTTTCTAATAAACGTCTCACTTCAGTGGTCAGCTTCATCCCCCCCCCCTTCCCCACCTCGTGGTAGGAATATAGATATTTAGAGGATTAGAAAATATATGTAATAAGCGTTGTAGTCACAGACTAACTTATCAATGGCCACAAGAGCGTTTAAATATCTATTCCTACCGCGGGGGGGGGGGGGTGGAAGGCTGTAACTTGAAGTGCAATAATTTTTTAATTTCAAACGGTATATAGAAAGCGCTACAATCTGACAGTGATTCAAATATGCCTCTATCCTCACTAGCAAGGGTGCAGGATTATTATTTATGCATCACCTGTTGGTAGGGGCAGGGTAGGGGTATTTATACCACGATTAAGTCAGATATTTCTCAATAAACTTCTTAATTATAAGCATAAAGTAATAAAGTTGTTGAAGCACTACACACAACAATTTCAGGATTCTTAAAATATAATCAATTTCTCAAAGCTATTATCTTGTTGTAATAAACATTCCACAAAAGGTAGTGTACATCAAAGTTGTGTAGAATTCTATGGTCTACAATTTATGTTAACAATATTTTTTTCTAAAGTGAACCATTAAAAAGATATGATTGAAAAAATAAGAATGCAACAAAATTTCAGGGGTTTTGGGGGTGCTACGGGGAAAGCACAGGGGGTGGGAGGTCGAAAACCTAAATTCTTAACCACCAGATGACTGTCTATGACATGCAAAAGAAATCGGAAGTACTTCTCACTTTGCAAGTTAAAACTCTCCATTTCCTGGACTATTCCTGTTGATAGCCTCTCCCCCTTCATTCCATGCT